GCCGCCTCCGGGGGGCAAAAAGCCGCCCCCCGGACCCGGTGGGAAAGGCCCGAAGAAGCCGCCGCCCAAGAAGAAGGCGGCGGGTGCGGCTGCGCTAGGCAAGTTCAAGAAGCTCGCCTGGGACCCCATTGAGGACCCGTCGGGGACTGCGTTTACGCAGCAGTTCTCCGAGTATTTGAAGACACTCGAGCTCGGGAATCTTGAGGAGACCTTCGGACGAGCGAAACCGAAGGAAGAAAAGGAAGAAAAGAAGGTGGAGAAGAAACCCAAGGTCATCAAGGTGCTGCCTGACCCGCGCAGGGCCCACAATATGAACATTGCCCTGGCCCGCTTCAACAAGCGCACGTTCGCAGAGCTGCGCGATGTCATCATTGACCTGGACAAAAGCAAGCTGACTGTGGAGGAGTCCCAAATCCTCATTCAGTACGCGCCACTGCCGGAGGAAATCGCTGCCGTCCAGGAGTACATCAAGTCCGGCGGGGACGTCACCATGCTCGATCGGCCGGACCAGTTCGTGGCTGCCATGATGGGCGTGCCCCTGTTCAAGCAGCGAATGGTCTGCTTCGAGTTTTTGGCGACCTTCAATGACGAGCTGGAGACCATCGCGGCGCCGCTTGAGAGGTTCCGGATCGCAGTCGGCGATCTGTCCAAGTCAAATCGGTTGAAGAAGCTGCTGCACGCCATTCTCAAGATCGGAAACATCCTTAACCAGTCCGAGGTCCCCGGCTTCCGCTCGAACGTCTTGACCAAGCTGGAAGATCTGAAGACGACCACGAAGCCAGTGCAGACATTCACTGAGTACCTTGTCAACCTTTTCTGGGATCAGGATCCGGACGCCCTTTTGGTCCGGGAGGACTTCAAGTCGCTGGAAGACATGGGACGACTCGACGTGGGCGGCCTGGAGCAGAATCTGACTCGCCTGGACAGCGCATTCAAGGCGCTGAAGGCCTCCCAGCAATTGGCCGCCAAAAACAACAGCAATAGCTCCGACGTGGACCCAATGGAGCGCATCATTGGCGGCTTCATTGCTGAAAACGAGAACCGGCTGCCTGACCTGCAGAAGAAGATGAACGAAGCCAAACAGCAGTTCAACGAAGCCGCCAAAATATTCGGCGAGACAGACGCCACGCTGTCCAAGGTGAAGCCCGAGGTGTTCTTGAAGGACATCCTGACCTTCGTGCGCTCCGTAGATGCGAAACGCCGTTCCAAGGCGGATAAGCTCGAACGCGAGCGGAAACGCTCAGGAGGGAAGAAAAAGGAGAACACCAAACAACCTAACAAAAAAGAGGAGGGGAAAGCCAAGAAGGAGGAAGCCAAGAAGGTGGAGGCCAAGAAGGAGGAAGGGGCCAAGAAGGAGGAAGGGGCCAAAAAGGCGGAAGGCAAGAAGGAGGAGGCCAAAAAGGCGGAGGGCAAGAAGGAGGAGGCCAAAAAGGCGGAGGGCAAGAAGGAGGAGGCCAAGAAGGAGGAGGCTAAGAAGGCAGATGCTAAAGGACCGCCGAAAGGACCGCCGAAAAAAGCGGACGAAACAGCCAAGAAGGCGGAGGTGAAGAAGGCCGAGGCGGGGGTGAAGAAGCCACCATCAAAACCCGCTCCTAAGGGCAAAACACCACCAAAAGGTTAACTCAAAAACTAGCGCGAACCCTTATTAGCTATCTGTATTTGTACTGGCGAAAGCATTATGAAACAAATGCTGGAGAGGTGGCATCGTGCTGGAGTGCCCGGTAATGTGTCAGTGCCATGGGGTGTGCTTACTCATTTTGGTGTACTGTTCTTCATCGAACTGGGCACGTTTTTTGGACTCGAGTGCGCGGCCGGAGAGTATAAAGAGAGGCGGGGGGTCGAGTTGCGCGGCTTCCATGTCTTGCCAGTACTGTTGGAAGATGACGGAGCGCGTGTTGTCGATGGCGCTGGCTTCGGTCAAGTTCTTGTCGAAGATGAAGCGGTCGACGACGAGGTCTGTTTTGGTGGCGACACAGACGACGCGGACGTTGCTGTTGAGGGCGAACTGGATGATGTTGATCTCGGGTTGGTCGAGGACTTCGTTGAAGACGAGTATGATCCAGTCCATAGCGTGTAGTTGACTTTGGTGCATCCAGGTGAGGGAGCCTACGTTCTGGTCGTAGGGGTCGTACCCGGGGTAGTCCTGCATGATGACGTCGTAGTAGGCGGGGTGGCGGACGGACCAGATGCCGCCGTCGTCGGGCGGAATGGCCTGGGCGCCTAGTGTGTGCCGCACCAGTGTGGTCTTGCCGACCCCCACAGCGCCGACGTAGGCGACGAGCGTGTCCTTGCGGCAGTCGAACATGACGGACTTCGGCGTATCTGCTTTGAGCGCGGGCTTAGGCGCCGGTACGGACACGTAGCCGTGTCCGCGAGTGAAGTCGCCCGGCTGGAAGATGGAGCTCCCGTCGAAGGCGTTCCCCTTCAGGTTCGACTTGGGGTTCGGCACGGTCTGCTGGTACCGCGAACACGGTGTCTTGCCTTTACACACCTGCGCGACTGAACAAAGACAGTGGTTGGTTGTGTGCAAGTTGTGTGTCCGTGGCGGTGCAAGGTTTGGCGGTGCGGGGTGAGGTTACTATATGCCTTGAATTGTTCCTCGTCAGTTTGAGGGTAGCTGTTTGGTATTCTCAATATTCGTGGGTTAACGGAGAAGACTGACACCGAGTTCAGCCCTTTTTTGGCCAGCTTCTGGCTCGCGTCGCCGCCGGCGATCTTGCGCAACTTCAGGACGGCCTTTTTGGGGTTGAGGCCGCCGGACTTCTCGTCCCCGACCTTAGACGCGACGACGACGTCAATGCCCCGTCGTCGAGCCTCCTTAACGATTTGCAGGTGGTTCTAACGAGGGAGATGTCCAAGGAAGTTGGTTTTAGCCACAAGCTGGTTTTAGCCACAAGCTTGGCTTTAGTCAAGAGCATGTCGTCAGCCAAATGATATTGTGCCGCGGTGTTGGTCTTACGTCCTTGAATACTTCTTCAGAGAAGACGAGTACGATGAGCCGCATTTGTGGGAGACCGTTGTTGGCGAAGTAGAGGGGCACGTCCTTGGAGTTGACGAGGGGTATGTAGAAGAAGAGTGCGTCTTCGAACTGCGGGTGTTTGTAAGGCGTGTGTGAAAGAATGGATTGATGTGTGCCTGCCTTGTAACCGAGCACGGTCTCCATGACGGTGACGCCGTCGGTGGTAGGCGCTTCGAGAAAAGCGATTTTGATTTCCCGTCCCGTGTGTGCACCCTCTTCCGTCTGGGCCGCGTTATTGGGCAATTGACCGAGGCGCGACTCCTTATACCGCGACTGCCAGGTGGCAGCGGGCTTGCTGGTTTGCAGAGTCGTCCTCGTATCCGGAACCCGAGTGGACGAAATTGCGACTGCCTGCGGTGCGACTGCCTGCGGTGCGATTGTCCGGGGTGCGACGCTCGGACGGAAGGTCGTGCTCGCCTGCAGCGGCCGACTGGATTTGCGTAAGTAGGTGTTCGAAATCATCACCGTCGTGCTGTTCGTCAAACAGTCCGACTTCAATATGTTCCCTGTGTTCATATCAATCTCAACAGTGGGCGGACATGCACACAACTGACCCATGATATAGTCAACTGAAACAAGAAGTGTCAATTGTAGCGGGCGGTAAGAGTGGTGCTGCAGGCAACCTGCGTGTGTGTGTGTGTGTGAGTGGTAGTGTACACCTATTCAGTAAGGCGGTTTCGTCAAACCGCCGTTTGTTCTCCGGCTCGAAGAGGGCCGGGTTAGATACGATGTACACTGCTCTGTCTTGTTCGGGTAGAGCGAACCATTCTTTGGAAGCCTTGCTGTTAAAGATGTCCCTGGTCTTCCTGGGGAGGCTGACGTCATCTACTCCGTAGAGTTTGGTGAGTCGCTTAGCCTGGACGTCGGCTTTAGGACCGACGAAGGCGATGGGTATGTCCCGTTCGTGTGCGCGTTGTGCAGTTTCACACTCGAGTTTGGTGGCTGAGTGATCGAAGAGTATGAACACGAATTGGAAGCCTCGGAAGTCTTTCGTGGCGGCATGGACGATATCGATCTCGTACAAGGCGACGTTGTCCTGGTCCGGATGCAGATACCTCTGGCCGTCGGAAGTGGTTGTGGCTCCTGTGTGCCCCGTCACGTGTTTCCGGAAGAACCCATCAATTAGGGCACTCTTACCGACCCCGCGCGCCCCACAGACAGCGATGTTCACCAACTGCATGAGGTTCGAGTACTCCTGAATGTCACCCCGACCTGTGTCCGTCTTATGCTCAGTCGCGGTGTTGTCGTGCTTCATACTCCTAGGTACGAGCCCCATTGCAACCACAAAAAAAGAACTCTACACCGTACCTACATACACGATGTTGATGCAACTCATATGGGCACTACACTAGTTCCTGCATAACGCGATGCACAACGTTAGCCAGCTTGTTCTCTCGACACCTGCACAGACCACTATCCTGTGTCACAGACCACTATCCTGTGTCACAGACCACTATCCTGTGTCACAGACCACTGTCCTGTGTCACAGACCACTGTCCTGTGTCACAGACCACTGTCCTGTGTCACAGACCACCGTCACCCATCCAGTGTCACCCATCCAGTGCGTTTGGGGGGCAGTTACTTGTTCAGCAAGGTTAGGAATTCCAGCATGATCTTAACCATAGATCGCCTGTCTTCAGAACCTACAAGAACACGTTTTAAACTTGGCCCAGTAATGACTTACTGATTTTCCATAAAGGCACTTGCTGTAGCATCTGTATATATTGCTCGGTAGCTCTAATTTGAGTTGGTGTAAATTTCGGAAGGCGTTCCCAGCTTGTAACCCAGGCAACGACTTTCCGGGTTCCAGAGATGGACATTTCTGAGTGGGAGATTTCTGAGTGGAGTTCGTTCACAAACGCCAAAGAGATTTGAACAAATGCCTTGCTCAAGGTTTTGGTAACCTCATGTCCTTCACACCAGGAACAAATTGTAAAGATGCTAAAAGATAGAAGTCCGTGATGCAAGTACCTGATGCTTACCATTCAATTCTAGGCCAGGCGCGGGGGTCCTCACAAAGACTAACTTCGTGAGACACCACGGGCTGCAGTATAATCTGTAACTAAGAAGAAGATATCATGGATATTGACCAAAGAGGAGGAGGAG